AAAATCTATGTGGAGCCTGGGTAGGTCAGTCCGTTGAGCATCCAACTCTTGATTTCAGCTCTGGCTATGATCTCAGGGTCCTGAGAGAGCTCTGCGTGGTGCTCCAGATTGGAGTCCACTTGAGATTATCTCTCTCCCTCTGCCTCTGCCCCCAACCCCCGCTCACTCACGTGCTCACTTACTCTCTCAATAAATAAATTTAAAAAAAAAAAAAGATGGGAAGAACTGTAAATTGGCACAAGAGGAAAGAGGTTTACTAAGCTAGATGCTAAATTCAAAGAAAGTACAGAAGCAAAGTCTCAGCAAATGGAGAAAAAAATGAAAAGGCATTAAGTTTCGGAGAAAGGTACTGACATACTCGCTCTCAGATCTGATGGAAAGAAACAAGTATGGATACATGCACAGATGCATAGTGAAATGAGGAAAAAAGTCAGGCTGCTCTTGCAAAATGGCTCTGCCTTCTCAACTGATTTAAGGGATCACTCGCCTAGTACTTCAGCTCTTCTGGCTAACAGCCATGTTTAAAAGGTTAACTGAAGAGGTATTAGATAGACAAATCATCTAGAAGGTAATTGGGAACACATCATCAACTTTTCAAATATAGTATTTGGGGTAAAATTGACTCTCAGGATCAACCCTGGCCTTAGAGGTCACCTTTATGCCATTCAGAGAAGACCAAGCTCGAAAATCCATTCTCCCATCCTCTCCTTTGGCATCCTATTTCCAAAACAGAGATAAAGTCTGACAGCTGGCAGAGACAGGCATCTGATGAACGCAAAGACTCTCCACCTTTATCTGTCTGGCTAAAAGATGAATGGGTGAGAAAGATGTGAATAAACTGGTCATTTGAAACGCAGCTCCCTCATGTTCTCCTCACCACCCTTTTCCATTGATTCATTCCTTCCCAGCTCCAGCCTCATGCATTAATTCTCAATGTTCCATATGATTTGGGAGCCTTCACTGCTATTTCATGAGATTCTGTTCCACCAAGAAGGGCCCCAGGCTTTTTTCTTTTCACTGTCAAAATCTACTACACATACATCATGTTCTCAACAACCAAAAAAACTCCCAACAAAGCTGCTTAGTATCACTTAAGCATCTATACTGTATATGTTTGACTTTCTTTTCTGGTAACAAGGACAGTCTCCTCCTTAGGCAGCAGGACAATCTTACCTTATATCCAGAGTCAGTAAAGAATCATAAGTTGTAAAGAAGGTCATATGTGCGCATACATGCCTCTGTGTGTGTGGGGGTGTGTATGCATATATTCATCATCAGGATGATGAACTCCTGATAATTCTATAACTTTTACATATAAAATATCAATTTTTCATTTCTCTTATGAATATTTCATTTCTATAGACTGACATAAAATCATGCAATTCACTAAAAAACATAAGAGGCTGAATTTCAAGTAAGAGATTTATAGGGCTTGTTTAACCCCAGGAATCTAATTTGCATCAAATCTACATTTTGCTTTTGTGTTCTGTTGTGGCCATTTATTACTACTTATAATTTTTTAATTTTTCATTTTATAGCAAATACTTTAGACTTCAAAATAATTGCTAATTCAGAGATTGCTATGAAAAATAGAAATTCTTTTGGTTTAAATAAAAAGAGGAACAGATATTTGGCACCAGTATACTAGAGCACAAATTATACTCTGGTATTTATCCAAAAGGGTTAAGACCAAGGAAAGAATCTGCTTGCTTATTAAAAATGCAAACATTACCTCAGTCATACGAATAGCCCCAAACTCACCCAGCTACTGGGATCTGCAGATCACCCACCAGCATTAGCACTACATCACATGACGTTATGGAACAATAGTGAACTCTGTAATACTTGAATATATTGTTTTGAAAGAATAAACTGTCATTAACTTGAATAAAAAGCTTTCTGAAATCAAACCTGGGGGGTACAGCCCTCACTGTGTGGCCTTTTTACTACTTTGAGAAATAGCCTCATCTTGAAAGCAGTAAAGGGTGAAAAAAAGAGATTAGAGTATAAAGGCAGCAGGGATGAGTGGCCCCTCCAGCAGCCCAGCAGGCAGACGGCAGGCCTTTAAATTACCAGGCAGAACAATGTCAAAGCAGGAGGCTTTACAACAAATGCTGCACCTAAAAATCCAAACAACCTTACACTCATCACCCTATTTTCTTTTTTAGCCTAGTGATCTTTATAATTGGCTTTGCTAGACTTGGAAACAGTCTTATTCCACGTGCAAAACAAAACAGTTAAAAACTCCATGTCCTGATGCCATCTTTAGAGGGGCTATCACTTAGAGCCATGGGATTCGAGATAATGAATTCTGCTCTGTGGACCTTAATGTTTTAATCTATCAAACGGGAAGAATAACAACATCATGCCGAGGTACAGGAGGGAGGGGAGGGGTTAGATCCTACTATTATCATAATTATATTTATTATTTCCACCCAACTGTCCCCTCTGCCTTCTAATCACTAAGAGGTTTCCTCTTTCACCAGTGAAACACAAGCACTCACTTAAATGATTCCTGGCTTTTTTTTTTTTTTTGTTCCCTGCAGTCTGGCTCCTGCCACTGTTGCCATTTCTATTTTCATGCCACCCTTATCAACTAATTTCTCCACCATTTTTAGCCAAATCCCAAATCACCTCTTAACTGCAACCTGCCCCTCAGCAGTCTTCCTCTCTCTCACATCTATTCTCAATGTTCTCAACAACCAAGGTCCAAAGAGGTGAAAAACAAAGTCAGGGCTACACGACCAGTGGGTAGCTAAGTCCCAATTTAAATCCAGGTATCAATGCAACCAAGTCCAACTGCACTGTAGTCATTCACTTCTAGAGTTCCCAATGATGATTTTAAATCTGAGATTGGGGACAACCCCAGGGGCCCAGTGGTTTAGCGCAGCCTTGTGGGGGTGGGGGGGTGCGGGGATCTGGTCCTAGAGACCCTGGGATCAAGTCCCACATGGGGCTCCCTGCATGGAGCCTGCTTCTCCCTCTGCCTTTGTCTCTGCCTCTATCTCTCATGAATAAATAAATAAAATCTTTAAAAATAAATAAAAATTTAAAAAATTAAAATCAATCAATCTGAGGTTGGTTTCCAAGGCTTCTCCTCGATACTTTCTCTACTAGTCAATCCACTGCCATAAAATAAGAATTATTTCGAATGCTTAGAAAAGAAACATTCCAGGAAATTATTAAATATATCTCAAAATGCTGGGAGTTATTGTTTTTTGTTCTTGCTTGTTTTTCGTCTGCCTAAAGTGAGGACAAATGCTGGTCACATCAGGCCTCACCCAGGACTAGAAGGATCTATGGGAGGACATAGCTAACAGGAAGCAGAGGCGTGACACTACAAATCTGGGCAGTACTACATGCATGTCTGGGAGGGCTGGAGCACAAAACACAAGTGTCCACCTCTAAGTTTCTACAGATTCATTAAATCTGGCTGTCTTCTAATCTGATTGTACAGGGACATGTGGAGATGGAAATTTCATTAATACTGGCTTTTTTGGAGAATCATGTCATCCCTCAAAATAATGAAAACTATTAAGACTTGCAACAAGATGTAATGTGTTTTTTCACATAAGAACCAAAGCGGTTTGCAAAGTCGAACACTGAGGCCTCTGGGAAAAGACTGAAATCTTTTATTTCCTCACCTGGAAAGCAGACGAAGTGTGGGGCAGAATGAGACGATATAGGACTCTGTTTTATTTTTGTTTTTTTAGGTACAGTGTCGAATAGTGTAACTAGTATTTGACATGACTGAAGAAGGTTCAAGTTCAACCTCTCCACTTGTGAGGTGCCTGATCTGACACAAATCATTCAAACATATTTAACTATGTAAGGATTAAAGGGATGACATGTGTTTGTATGTGTGTGGAGGAGGGTACCTTCCAATACAAATAGCTGTATAAACGCAAGAAGTTTTATACTATGTTGTACCAGGTTATGTAAACCAGGGCCTTATGTTCATTTCTATTTCCTAATCTTCTGGAGGAAAAGAGACAAAAAGAGGGATTCTTATAATAGAAACCCCATTTAGTTAACACAAAGTCATTGCCACTACTTCTTTAATGGATATGACAACAACATAAGATAAATTTATTAACGAAAACATGTAACATAAAAATATGTAATGAAGTTATCATTTACCGCTTTTGATAAAATTTGATAATTAAAAATTATCAAATGAATAATACAATTCATATTAAAAGGTAACTCTGGGGTGCCTGGGTGGCTCAGTCGGTTGAGCATTTGACTCTTGATTTTGGCTCAGGTCATGATCCAGGGGTCCTGGGATCAAGCCCCTTGTCTGGCTCCTCACTCCTCAGGGAATCTACTTATCTCCCTCTTCCCCTGCCCCTCCCCTGCTTGCACATGCTCACATGTGTGTGCTCTCTCTATAATAAATCTTTAAAAAGTAAAAATAGAAAAAGGTAACTCTAATCTCAGTATACACTGATCAATATATGCTAATCCTCTCATATATACCCTCCACTCTCATACAAAATAGTTGTCAGAATTAATTCTAAGTTTATCTATGATTATAGACATTTTATGGATCTGAACTAGTGAACCCATAGTTCAGACCACAAATAACAGTGAAAAGTCTTTTCGTATAAATATACAGGTAAAGGCCAACTCCAACATCATTCATTCATGCAGTTACTCAGGACCTACTTTATACTATGCTCTATTTCAGGTGCTATGATTCGACAGTGCACAAAACACAGAAAGTTCCTACCATCACAGAGCCCACATTCTAACAGAGAACACAGACTGTAAACAAATAAGTAAACTATGCAGCAGATCAACGGTGATTAACTATTACAGGGAAAAACAGCAAAAAGGGTTGCAATTCTAAACAGGGCAGCCAAAGGCTTCACCAAGAAGATGCTATTTAAGCAAAGACCTAAAGGAGATGAGGAAGGCACATAGCTCTCTGGGAAGATTAGTGTGGCTACACAAACATTTCTGGCAGGTCCAGATAAGACAAAATGCCAAGTTCTTACCTTTCAAAAGCGGCTGGAAGGTTGGAATCTCTTGCAACTTGATGACATCAGGATCGTTGCTAACGTTCCTTGAGGGTTGGGAGCCTGGAGCTACAACCACAATATCGTCCATCTTGGCTCTATGCTTCGCTGGAGAAGGGGTCACTGAAAATAAAGTTACACTGCTCAGGAGCTCCATGTTAGTTGCCCCCTCTGTCTCACCAAAGCTGTTTTGAGTACATTCATTTAAAAATGTATTTTTAGGGGCATCCCAGGTGGCTCAGCGGTTTAGCGCCACGTTTGGCCTTCGGCCTGATCCTGGAGACCCAGGATCAAGTCCCATGTCGGGTTCCCTGTATGGAGCCTGCTTCTCCCTCCGCCTGTGTCTCTGCTTCTCTTTGTGTATCTCCCATGAATAAATAAAATCTTAAAAAAAACAACAACACGTATTTTTACACAAAAAGAAATGCTAACTGCACTTATCCTGCAGTGCGGGCTGGAAAGGTGGCAATGAATCATGGGAGACCTCTATTTTCCGACTAAAAAAACCTCAAACATTACAATACCCTATAACATGTATGAAATTCCTTTTGTAATTAAAAATATCTTACTGTTCAACACACAAAAATATAGGTAGATTGTTTTAAATTTTTACTTCTTTGGTTCTCCTGACATTGTCCCTATTTTTTTTTTTTTTTTACTGAAGACTGGCCTTTTTTTTTTCTTTCAAATTTTTATTTATTTATGATAGTCACACACAGAGAGAGAGAGAGAGAGAGAGAGAGAGAGGCAGGCAGAGACATAGGCAGAGGGAGAAGCAGGCTCCATGCACCGGGAGCCTGACGTGGGATTCGATCCCGGGTTTCCAGGATTGCGCCCTGGGCCAAAGGCAGGCGCGAAACCGCTGCGCCACCCAGGGATCCCCATTGTCCCTATTTTTTTTTTTCATTGTCCCTATTTTACCAATGAGAAAATGAGAGTACAAAATTTGGCTGTTACCTGCCCACGGTCAACAGTGCTAGAAAAGGAGATGTATAGGATATTGGTGTATGTGGTCCATCCCTGTGAAACTGAGGTTACAAACTGTCTAGCCACCTTATCACAGCAAGCCAGGTACTTTTAATAGATCCTACTCATGGGAGGAAAAAAATCCTGGTTCTCAACCCTATACGAGGCACAGACCCCTCACCCTTACAGTTATAGGCATTAGTCGAAAAAGGGCAAAAATAAATAGTAGAGGTCCCTTTCAGGCTGAGGCCAAATTCAGAAATTTGTGGGACTGCTAGCAGCTGGTAAATTTCAGGTCCCTTGAGAGAAAGTAAAGCATTGGTAGGAAGGATTCCAACTACCAACAACTTCCTAGACCAAAATATCCTCCTCTCCTCAAATATCTTTCTGGTTAGGGCAAGAATAAACCTTTAAAGTGGTTTACCTTCTAGAAGGTAGTATTTGCAAGCTCATCGTAGTCATGTCTCAAAGGTTAACGGAGGGATGCCACAGAGTCCTCCTGGACGCCAGAGTTTCCTGGGCTTGGCATTCACTCTTTTAGAATCTCTGCTTTTACTGCTCTTCAAGAAGTGCCTCTTAATCTCATTTGGTAATTTACCTAATATTTCACAAATCCCAAGCCAGAAATCTTTTCTGCTACAAATTAAGTGATTTCTTCTCCCCCAGACCCCAGGGGAAAACAGATTTCACTAGGTTCTAGCTAATCTCCATCACCTTTACCTGTAAAATGGGGCTATAAGAATTAAATGTGGATGCACGTGAAACTACTTAGCACAGGGGACTCCGCAAATTCTAACCTATGCTATTGGTTAGCATGCTACAGTACTAATTCGAGTTCATGCTGTTGGGTCAGGAGGTGAGCAAGCATATTAAAAAGATGCCACACTTCTTCCCCTCAAATACGCTTCTAGACTGACATATAGGCAAAGAAATAAAGGGTGACAACTATTACTGTATTTTCTATAACAGATAAGATAATCTGGGTTTCCCAAGGAAATAGCACAATGTAGCAAAGCTAAGAGATGCTGCTCACCATTAGAAGCTGTGCCAATCTATCCTCCAAATGAGGGTCTGACCTAGTCGTGAAGGACACACTTCAGGGTGGAATAACCCTAGATCTGTCGGCTTCCACTTTTCTGAACTACAGATCCTACCAGGCAGAGAACAGTTCTGCGTATTGAGAGACAGTTGTGTGGGGATCCCTGGGTGGCTCAGAGGTTTAGCGTCTGCGTTGGGCCCAGGGTGTGATCCTGGAGACCCGGGATGGAGTCCCGCGTCAGGCTCCCTGCGTGGAGCCTGCCCCGCCCCCTCTTTCTCTGTGTATCTCATGAATAAATAAATAAAATCTTAAAAAAAAAGTCGTGGATTTTAATTCTATCTAGCATCTCTCTTTCTCCTGTAAAGCAGGGCCTAAAATTTCTTAATATATACAAGTATCATATCACTAGCTCGTACACCTGAAGCTAGTAGTTTATATCTAGGCTCCACATTTAATCCCGTTTGGATTAGCAACTCCAGTGTATCCAGAGCAGTGCCAGTTGTCCTAGGATTTGTGGCTAACCAAAAAAAAAAAAAAAAAAAAAAGGGAGGGGGGGGCATATGATTCTCAAATAGACCTCAGCCGGTTCACTTACTGAACGCTTACTATATTCCCGGCGCAATGATCCTCCCATTCCTACCTCAAGCGCTGGGAGAAACCTTAAAACCACGTAAGCGCGAAGAATAAAGAAAAACACCCAGAGCCTACGGTGCTGACGGGTCCTCCGATATTAGAAAGGGAGTCGAGACACCTCAAGGGGAAATGCGGCTTCCAAGGGTCCGAAGCGACGGCACACCTGTCACACGCCCCTCCGGAAGAGGAGCGTCTAAGACCCGCTCTCGGAAGGAAGCGCCCCTAGAGGCCCTGCCTGGGGCCCCTCCGCGGCGCGAGCCACACCACCCCACCCCGGGCCCGCCCCGAGCGCCCGCGCCGGACGTTCACCCGGTCGTCCTTTAAAGAGGGGGCGGAGCTGGGAGAAACAGCCGTGTCTCCCGTAAATCGCGGGCACGAGCGCTCAGGCTGGTTCAGCTCGCGGTCTCAGGCCCTCGCTGCCATCGGGGGAGGGCGGCTAGGGCCCACGGTGGCCTTGTTCGCTCTTTCCAAGAAAACGAGCAGGGCGGGCGCCCTCTGTGCGTCGGTGTCCGCGGTCCCGGTGCCCGCGAGCGGGGAGGCAGCCCCCTCGGCTGGAGGAGGGTGGAAGTTAGGACACCGACCTGAGGAGTTCAGATCGTTGGGTCGGCTCTCGACCTCGGAGCTCTGCTCACTGCCCATGGTGCCGGCAGCGGTGGCAGCGGAGGAACGGCGGGCCGACCGGGAGGGGCTGGGGCCAGGGATGCTGCCGCGAGGGTGGGCGCAGCCGCACGGCCGGGCACGGACACGCGCGGGCGGCGGCGGAGGGGAGGCCCTACTCGGGGAACAGACGCGCCGGGAAGCGCAGCGCGGCCGCGGGAAGCTCGCCCGCTTTCTCCGGGGACCGAAAGGGAGGAGGCGGGACGCCCGGCTTCGGCCGCGCCAGCCGCCGGCGGGCGGCGCCGCTTTCACTCACTCGCTCAGGCGCCGCAAGCTCACTCCTTCCGGGACGCGGATTGGCGGCGCCGGCTGCGCGCAGCCGTCAGTTCCGGGTTGGGGAGCCTCCCCCTCCCCCTCCCCCACGCCCACGCCCACGCCCGGGCCCGGGCCCGCGGGACGGCGGGTGGGCTGGCCGCGGCGTCGCCGCCTTCCTTAAAGGGCCCGACCGCCGCAAAGCCACGACCGCCCGGAAGAGTAAGGCCTTCCCTCGTGTAGTGAGGCGTCACCTTTAAGCATCCTCCCTCTCTTGGCGCTTTATTGACTAAATAAGAAGGGGCGGGGGGATTGTTGGTTTTGTTGAGCTCTCCTTGACACACAGCATTTCATGAGCTTCAGGTGCACAGCCGGTGATTCGGTATTTGTGTATATCGCACACTTTTCGACCTCGTTTACAGATGGAGAAAGAGAGGTGCTAGGTAGATCTTTAGGATTAGAATCCACGACTCTGTAAAAGCAACGCTTCTGTTTCAGTTCCAGAAGCTAGGAGGTTGGCAGCGGACAGCCATACAAGAGATATGGATGGTGAAGGAAGGAACTGGCAATGAGAGAAAAAGGAAGAAATAGAAAATGCTGATTCACGTGTTAGGGTGTGTGTGCATCCTCAGAGGAAGCTGGGTACCCCTAACGCACTTTCTGGGGACGTTGACAATTAGCCACAATCCATTCCCAAACCAGCAAAGGTGAGGGTGGAGTGCAAGTGATGCAAAATGGAATCTGCCAGTTTGGGCAGATCAAAGACGGAGACCTAGCAATGCAATGCCGCCAAGGAGGTGGGATACTTTGGGGTTCCCAGAACTTTGCAACTCACTTTATATTATTTGCTTCGTGAAATTTCAAGCAAATGTCCTAAGATTTTATATTTATAGTCTCAGAAGCAATGCCAAATGAACTAAATCCCTGCTATTCTATAGCATCATAGACATTTCACTAGTGTTACCTTATTTGATTTTCAAAGCAAACCTGAGGCCCACAAATGGGTGATTTCTTCGTGGTCCAAAAGGCGGAACTAGGATTCAGGACTCTCTGATTTCAAACCCATGCTCTTCCCTCTACTCACTATTGCAATACTACGAGAAAAGTGCAAATGAATGTGAATTCAGTATTTGGTGGGAATATGAAGAACTAAAAAATGCCTGAGAGGTCAAGCAGGCTCCTAGGAGATGGTGTTTGACTGTAGTCTTGAGCCTTACATAAACCACCAGGCTGATGGGACCACTTCTTCCTGGAGAGCCCCTGGCTCCTCTCCCGGGTCTGTCATCTTTGAGGGCAGCCAAGAGAGCAGGGAAAGGGGGAGAGGACAACTCATGTTCTGCCTTTTGTTTCCCCTTTTCCACATCAAAATATATTTATCTTGTGTTCCATGCCCTAATCCACACTGATGTGATGGTGTTTTTTATGCTTCCCACTGGATGAACAGTTGTTTCTAAACCAAACATTGTAAATGTTCTCAACTGAAGAATGAACATATATATAGAATATATCATCGTATTCTCTCCTGGCCTGCAAGGTCTCTGCTGAAAAATCTGTTCATCGCCTTGTATGAGAGAAAATTTGTTTCTCTCTCTGCTTTAAAAAATTCTCTTTGATTTTAGGTAGTTTTAATTATAACATGTCTTGGGGAAAATGGTATAGATTGAAATTTTGGGTTGACCTATTGGGTTCATAATCTTGGATATCCGAATTTCTCCCCAGGTTTGGATTGTTCTCAGCCATTATTTCTTTACATACACTTTCTGCTTCTTTCTTCCTCTTTTCTCTTTCTGGGACTCCAGTGATATGTACATTATTTCTCTTTATGGGGCCCAGTAAGTCCCTTAAGTCCATAAGTCCCAATGGATTTATAATTTATTTTTAAAAGATTGTATTTATTTGAGAGAGAGAGAGCATGAGCAGGGAGGAGGGGCAGAAAGAGAGGGGGAAAGCAGCCTCCCTGCTGAGCAGGATTCAATGTGGGGCTCAATCCCAGGACCCTGAGAACATGACCTGAGCTGAAGGCAGACACTTACCCTCCTGAGCCACTCAAGCACCTCTGAATTATACAATTTAATTAGGTGAATTGTATGGTATATGAATTATATCTCGATAGCTGTTATCAGAGTAAGGATATAGAAATACAAAATGTCTTCATTCCTTGACTCAACATTTATTGGTAGTCTGTAATGTGCCAGGCATTTGCTAGAGGTTAGGAATAAGTGATCCAACAAGACCTAGTCCTTAGGGATCCCTGGGTGGCGCAGCGGTTTGGCGCCTGCCTTTGGCCCAGGGCGCGATCCTGGAGACCCGGGATCGAGTCTCACGTTGGGCTCCCGGTGTATGGAGCCTGCTTCTCCCTATGCCTGTGCCTCTGCCTCTCTCTCTCTCCCTGTGTGCCTATCATAAATAAATAAAACAAAAAAAATTAAAAAAAAAAGACCTAGTCCTTAGCCTTAGGAAGCTTACAATCTGGTGGCAAGAAAATTAATTGGGGATTTATACTTCAAGGATTCTCCTGGAGGGGCTAAACTATGGACTTTAGAGGTAGAACACATTTGGAACCAATGCCTTTTAGCACCTTTAAAATCATTTCCCCATGAACAGCAACCTATGTGACTTATACACGCAATAAGTAACAATTGAAGAGTCATTTGGGTTAAGGCAGTTTAATAATGAGGAGGGAAACAAAGGTGAGAGAAATTGGAGCTTAAATTAAATCTCCTTGCAGCTTGCCTCCCAGTGACAGAGACCTGAAACATGCAGAGTATGACTCTCCATAAGGACCCCATGGCTGCTTTTATGCCTTTATGTTTATGTTTTATTTAAGACTAGAAGTAATCTTAACTGCAGCTGGCCCCTCAAGGTCCTAAAGGCCTTGCTTCCAAATTCCTTAGAGACTTCCGCTATTTCCTAACCCCCGCTAATTAAAAAGTATGTATTCGGGGGCACCTGGGTGGCTCAGTGGTTGAGTGTCTGCCTTTGGCTCAGGTCCTGATCCTGGGGTGCTGGGATCGAGTACCACATCAGGCTCCCCACAGAGAGACTGCTTCTCTCTCTCTTTTTTTTTTTTTTTGTGTGTATATATATATATATATATATATATTAATTTATTTATTCACAGAGACACAGCTAGAGAGAGAGGCAGAGACACAGGCAGAGGGAGAAACAGGCACCATGCAGGGAGCCCGATGCGGGACTTGATCCCAGGTCTCCAGGATCACGCCCTAGGCTGCAGGCGGCGCTAAACCGCTGCACCACCGGGGCTGCCCTGTATATATTTTTTAATTGGAGTTCAATTTGCCAACATATAGTACAACACCCAGTGCTTATCCCACCAAGTGCCCCCTTCAGTGCCCATCACCCAGTCACCCCAAGCCCCTGCCCACCTTCCTTTCCACTACCCCTTGTTCGTTTCCCAGAGTTAGGTGTCTTTCATGTCCTGTCACCCTCTCTGATATTTTCACTCATTTTCTCTCCTTTCCCCTTTATTACCTTTCACTATTTTTTATATTCCCCGTATGAGTGAGACCATATAATGTTTGTCCTTCTCCGATTGACTTACTTCACTCAGCATAATACCCTCCAGTTCCATCCACATCGAAGCAAGTGGTGGGTATTTGTCGTTTCTTTTTTTTTCTTTTTTTTTTCATCCTTTTTTTTAATAAATTAATTTTTATTGGTGTTCGATTTACCAACATACAGAATAACACCCAGTGCTCATCCCGACAAGTGCCCCCCTCAGTGCCCGTCACCCATTCACCCCCACCCCCCGCCGTCCTCCCCCTCCACCACCCCTAGTTCATTCCCCAGAGTTAGGAGTCTTTATGTTCTGTGTCCCTTTCTGATATTTCCCACACATTTCTTCTCCCTTCCCTTATATTCCCTTTCACTATTATTCATATTCCCCAAATGAATGAGAACATACACTGTTTGTCCTTCTCCTATTGACTTACTTCACTCAGCATAATACCCTCCAGTTCCATCCACGTTGAAGCAAATGGTGGGTATTTGTCTTTCTAATGGCTGAGTAATATTCCATTGTATACATAAACCACATCTTCTTTATCCATTCATCTTTCGATGGACACCGAGGCTCCTTCCACAGTTTGGCTATTGTGGACATGGCTGCTAGAAACATCGGGGTGCAGGTGTCCCGGCGTTTCATTGCATCTGAATCTTTGGGGTAAATCCCCAGCAGTGCAATTGCTGGGTCGTAGGGCAGGTCTATTTTTAACTCTTTGAGGAACCTCCACACAGTTTTCCAGAGTGGCTGCACCAGTTCACATTCCCACCAACAGTGTAAGAGGGTTCCCTTTTCTCCGCATCCTCTCCAACATTTGTTGTTTCCTGCCTTGTTAATTTTCTCCATTCTCACTGGTGTGAGGTGGTATCTCATTGTGGTTTTGATTTGTATTTCCCTGATGGCCAGTGATGCAGAGCATTTTCTCATGTGCCTGTTGGCCATGTCTATGTCTTCCTCTGTGAGATTTCTCTTCATGTCTTTTGCCCATTTCATGATTGGATTGTTTGTTTCTTTGCTGTTGAGTTTAATAAGTTCTTTATAGATTTTGGAAACTAGCCCTTTATCTGATATGTTATTTGCAAATATCTTCTCCCATTCTGTAGGTTGTCTTTGAGTTTTGTTGACTGTATCCTTTGCTGTGCAAAAGCTTCTTATCTTGATGAAGTCTCAATAGTTCATTTTTGCTTTTGTTTCTTTTGCCTTCATGGATGTATCTTGCAAGAAGTTACTGTGGCCAAGTTCAAAAAGGGTGTTGCCTGTGTTCTCCTCTAGGATTTTGATGGAATCTTGTCTCACATTTAGATCTTTCATCCATTTTGAGTTTATCTTTGTGTATGGTGCAAGAGAGTGGTCTAGTTTCATTCTTCTGCATGTTGATGTCCAATTTTCCCAGCACCATTTATTGAAGAGACTGTCTTTCTTCCAGTGGA